TCCCTGAGGGTTACCCCAGCAGGGAGCTTACGAAAGAGATTATGCAAGATTCCCCTTCCCTTTTTTTGGGGGTTTGGGGGGTGCCCAGATGGGGGCCCAGCTGAGGAAGCAAATGCAAAGTTACTGTGGGGGCCTGGGCCCTTTTCTTGGGAATTCCTGGGTTCTGTCTTGGCCCCAGCCTGCAAATTTTGTTAAGGTAATTGTTCAGTTTTGCAAAGGACCCAGCATTCATATGCAAAAAGGCTTTGCAGCAGCCTGGAAGGGGCGGGGGTCTCGGAATCAACAGGGCGGAGCAAGCAGCTATGGCTGATTCTCAGCCCTGCCCTAAGGGGCTGCGCGTCTCAGTGTCCTGGTAATTGCTGCCAGCACCTCTGAGGGAAAGCCGTCCTCAAGTTCCGAGTTCTGCCTGCTGCCAGACCGTCCAGTTTCTCCCCGTATGAGTCCTGGGACCCCAGAGATTTCCCGGAACCGGAGTTCAGAGCAGTCGGGAGCTTGTGACTCCCTCCCGATTCAAAAAGACAGCCGCGTCCTCAGGTGCCCGCCCCTTTCCGCGCGCGCCGGAGCCTCTGTACCTCTGCACTTCACTTTCGTAGTTCCTCTGAGTCTGTGTGCGCTTCTCTTTCCTTCTAGTTGTAGAGTTTCCACTCAGCCAGCCTTCCTGTGGTTCTGGATGATGACCGTTCTCCCTTTTAGTTGTATTTTTGAAGTTGTTGTCGGAGGCAGCAATTTCCGGTGTTTTTCTATGCCGCCATCTTCGGTTACTCTCTCCTGACCAGTTTTCATAAGTTTAACCATCCTTGCATTCTAGGAAAAGAACCCCACTTAGTCATGGTGTGTAAGCCTTTTAATATGTTGCTGAATTTGGTTTGCGAGTATTTTGGTGAGAATTTTTGCTGAGAGTTCATAAGGGGCATTGGGCTGTAGGTTTTGTGTAGTGTCTTTGTCTTGCTTTGGTATCAGGGTAATACTGGCATCAGAAATATAGGAAGTATTCCCTCTTCTTCGGTTTTTTGGGGAAACTTGAGACTTGGTATTAATTCTTAAATGTTTGGTAGAATTCACCTGTGAAGCTATCAGATCCGGGCCTTTTTTTAATTAAAAATTTATTGATTGGTTTTAGAGAAACATTGATTTTGTTGTTCCACTTATGCATTTATTGGCTGCTTCCCATATGGGCCCTGACAAGGGATGGAACCACACCTGGCATATTGCGACGACACTCTAACCAACCGAGCTGCCGGGCCAGGGCCTTCACTGACATTTGAAAGCTGATTTTTAAGACAAAAAATAAGGCTGGTAAGTCCTTCAGGGTCAACCAAACGCGCCCTGCGGATGGCCGTGGCCTGTGGTTTGTGCGCTGTGGACAGGTGGAGGACAGGGCCCAGGTCCTGCTCTCGGTATCACCCAGTCGGAACCAGGCATTTGCCTCCACGTGGGGCTGGGCCAGTGCCAGGCCTGGGGCATGTGGACAGAGTGCCCTTGGGGAGCTCTGTGAACTGCCCCCCACCACACACGCCCCACCCCTGGCCCAGGGATGAGCTGCTCATTGTTCGTAGAGATGTTTGTTTCTTGCCGTTTCATTTGACCAGTGAGGACGGATGCTTAGAGGTCAGGTCTTGCCCAGGTCCTCCAGCCCGAGAGGGTGTGAGGGAGCTGCAGCTGATGGAGGCAGTGAGGCGGGGCGGCCAGTGCCGCTGCCTCCTTACCTGGTCACACCAGCAGCTGCCCTGACCCCACGAGCCTCCGCCTGCCCATGTGCAGAGGGAGAGATGACAGAAGCTGCTCCTGGGTGCGTGGAGATTGTGTGGTGGGGGGAGTGAGGACTGAGATCGCCGAGGTATGGTGGGTGGGGACTTAGAAGTTTGCTGCAGCTGTGGTTCCGCCGGAGACTGGCCTCTGGTCTTGTGTTAGTTGTAGAATTCCCTCTGTCGCATGTTGTATGGGTTTGTGTAATGACAGTGTTTCATATACAAACATGCTGAGACCCTGAGTAAACCAGTGTCGGACGGGGACAAGGACAGGCCGTCTCGGTCATGCTGCTGGAACGGCAGCTTTTGATCTGAATAACTAGCATTTAATGGACATGAGCTCAGGGCAGACCTGTGCCTGCCACCTTGCTCTTCGTGCGCACTGCGGAGCCAGGGCGGGAAGTAGGTCGGGGGAGGGGGGGGCGGTGGCGGGGGACAGGGTAGCGACGTGGCAGCAGAGCCCAGGTGCGGAGGAGGCTCCTGCGAGCTGTGGGGTGAGAGCCGGGCAGGCCCTGACCAGCGGGCGGGCCTTCAGAAAGGGGTCCGTCATTGCCCTGGTGAGAGTGTCGTCCCGTCGGCCAAGGCTGGGGGCTCAGTCCCTGGTCAGGGCACATACAAGAGTCAACCAGTGAATGCATACATGCTAGTAAGTGGAACAACAAATCAATGTTTCTCTCTCTTCCTTCCTCTCTCTCAAAAAAAAATTCAATTAAAAAAAAAGTGGTCAGTTTTTAAAGGAAACACACACATTAAGGCCAAGCAGCAGGCGGGTGTGCGCGCGGGCTCAGCGCCACGGGAACAGCAGCAGCGAGAGCCTGGGTTCCACCGGCGTCCTCCTCCTGCTTCTCATGTGGTGCGTCTACCACGGGGCCTGCACGGGCCCCGCTGGCGGCACACAGTGGGGGTGGGTCCACAGGCCGTGGGCAGAGGCCCCCCGCCCGCGGCCTCCCAGCCCTGGGGGCCCAGGCCGCCTGGGAGGAGGCGCTGATGCCCGCTGCCCCTCCGAGGGGCTTCTTCCTGGGTGAAAGTGAAAGTCGGGGTCTGGCCAGGAGCCCCGTGAAGCCTCCGTTCTCAGGCTGTCACCGTCGCTGCCAGCCCCAACTCTCCTGTCCTCAGGGGCTCGCTTCCCCGCCAGGGTCTGATGGCCTCATCCCCTCCTGTACCTCCCGCCTTCCTGCCCCTCTTCCGAGGCCTCTGCGAGACAGCCAGATGGCCATCCTAACTGAAGTTCTCCTTCCCTCTTCCTTCATCTCTAGAGCAAAGTCCAAGGGAAGTGGGGAAAGAGGACTCTCAGAAATCCCCTGCGAGGGCAAGGTTTCCAGAATGTTCACTGGGCACGGGCCAGAGGGTGCAGTCATGTGCTGGGCTGACCCGTGGAGGCGTTTGCATGGGGGTGGGGTCCCGAGTTCCACCAATTAGTGCTGAACCCCAATCCTAAAGCCACCGCGGCCGTGCGACTGTGGGTACTTACCTGGGTGTTTGCACGAGGACAGGAGGCAGCGCGTGGCGGCGGAGGTGGGGGCTGTGAACTGGAACCCCAAGTTCAAAAGCACGAGGCGGGCGGAGTCAGGCGGTTCCGGAGGGAAGGCGAGGTTGGTAGAAGCACATGTTCTCGGTGCTTATAAAGGTTCTGGAGAGAGAAGTGCCCAGAGGTGGAATGGCTCCTCTGCTGAGCGCAGCTGGTGGAGGGGCTGGTGGGAACAGGAATGTCGATTTCCAGTTTAGGTCCCTCTGGATGTTTTGTAAAAGAGAAGGTTCTAGGTTCCTGGTGTCTGGTACCAGCAGGCCACACCCCTCCCTCCGCTTCCTCCCGACTCATCTTCCAGGCTGTTAGCATTGGGATGTGGGGCGGCCGGGCGCTCCTGGGCTCCTCGGGAGGTTCCTTGAAAACGGGAAGCCCCAGGCTGAGGCCG